CTTTGGTTTAGTTTATCATCTTAAGAGAAATATTCGGTTTGATTTAATAGACCACTTATTTTCAATCGTTCTAGTCATTTCAATTTTCTCTGGTCAAATTGTTGTAATATTCTCTCAACATCGGTCTACCGTCTACATAAGAAATGCAAGACGTTAGGTACATTACATACGAATGATCTACAGACAAATTGAGAGAGTGTATATATATATATACCTTTAACGTTTGAAATTTGATAAATTGCGAAATGTTTTGGTCGGTCACGAGCAAAGTACGTGTGTGTGTTGGTTTTGAGTTGACAGAAAAAAACTCGGTTAAATTTGATACTAGAAGTTTATTATTCCCTGCGTGTCTCAGCTCTCACGTGGTAAAGGAAACAGAGAAATAGCTGACACGTGTGAACATGCGTGTCTTAACGTCAAACAACTTTCTCGCGTCCAATGAAATTTTCCAATCTTGAAAATATAGAAAGTTCTTAACCACTACCAAAATTTCGAAACTTCTTTAAAGCACCAAAAAAATCGAATTGTCATAATTGTCACGTTCATTGCATCCTCACCAAAAGCAGTACATGTCAGATTACTAATTTTTTACAACCCAAAAATAAAAGAGAGTGTAAGTTCAGTGAATTTTGTGAGGAAATCGTTACGTCTTCTCTTCTCTCCTCCTTAATGGTACATTGCATTTCTCTTTTCCGTTATGTAGAAACAAAAAAAAACTTTTTATTTTTTCTCTTTACACTGTGAAATCTCTGCCGTTAATTTTGACTGTTTGTCTCAAGATGAACTTTTTTTTTTGTCGTGTCTCACAAGATGAACTAAAACTCAATTGTTTGGAGATAATTAAAAACTTCTCAAGAAAATAAGAAATAATTTGTTAGGATTTCCACATCAACATGAGAGGGACCTTAAAATAAATATATACATAACTTACTCATTGTTTATTAATTTTAGCGGTAAATGGTTGTATTTCTAGAAGAGAAATGATATATTATGCTCAACTCATATTAGCTAAGTTGTAAATATAGTATAAAGAATTCAATTCATTCCTCATTAGCAGAAGAACAAAGAAGAGAA